CCCCCCCCCCCCCCCCAGGGTTTGGCAGTGAGTTTTGGGTGGTGGAAGAACGAAATAAGCATGGATCCAAAACGACCAAGAGTTAAAAGCCCTCTCTGGCTGAAGTGGGTGGGGGAGGGGGACGGGGGGTGTTATTCCCTTATATAAGCCATCAAATAGGTACATGTATGTGTTGCCCCAAAGGGTATGGTTTTCAGTCTGAAAAGGGGTATAGACTTTGCACATTATGGTCTGGAATCTGGTACGGTTTTTGAGGGAACTAAGGGAGTGTACGCTGTATGAACGTATCTGTAGTTTCAATTCTAAATCAATAAGAAAGGAAGAGTAATATGCGAATTCGTAATGGCTTTATAGGGTCAGGATTTGGAGAACCAGGGGCACACCCCAACCAAGAGTTCCCAGGAATATTCCCTCTTCCCTGGGGGCTGAAGAGGGGAAGGAAGGAAACAAAAACTTTGTGTAGCAGCCGCTGTGCCATTTTGAGCATCAGCCAGTCAATTTTTTTTAATTGTAGCCTACTCTACTCAGTAACATGGGGGCATTTCCGTGTTATTGTTCCTTTAATGTTCAAGTGTTGATGCTCTATCGGCTGCATTTTCTCTAACTCTTTAAGTTAGAAGCCATGCAGCCTATGGCTCCACAGTATCAATCTAAGTGAATACCACGCAAGTCACCTTCGCTGAGATTTAATGAAACACTGTAATTAAGTAAAATAGCCTTGTGACTAATTGTTTAATATTTTATTAATACACGTGATTCAAGTTAGAGTCTCTTCTTCTTGCTCCAGCAAAACCAATAAGAAAAATGTACTGTTCAAAAAAAAAAAATTGATATGCAAGAGGGAACCAATGAAATATAACACTGTTCACAGACGTTTTCATTAGACAACTTCCTTAGCATGTGCAAATTAATTAATATTATTCTAGCCTGTTCCAGGCGTTCAGATAGTGGGGAGCGGTGCGCAGAAAAAAGGAGCGCAAAAAAATAAAAGCGAGGGAGGTGGGACACCTCTCTCCCCAGTCCCCCTCTACTTTTCATCGCTATCTTTACTTCGCACCGCTCTCCACTATCTGAACGCTTGGAACAGGCTAATATTATTCTGGTTTTGAGCCTGTTTTCGTATTACTGTAAGCAGAGGAGTTCTCAGTCTAAGCGTTAAAGGGATGTCGAAAGTCAGTATCACAAAATTACTTTGGTTTTGCATCACTAGTCTATGCTTCATTTTTGAGCCAATCAGAGGTGAAACCAAAACCACTTGTTCCCTGCTTAGCCTGCGTAGCAAGTTTTTCGTCATGAGTTCATTTGCAGGGAACAAACTCATGTGGAAATACCTGATATGCAGGCTATGTCTTGCTCGAAAGTGTGTTGAGTCTTGTTTGGTTCATTCCATTCCGTGTCTCTTGTGACATGCCAGAGAAACTCTTTTGCAACTCAACATATACAACATTTTATGCTGAAATGAGAAGACAGTCTGAGAAAAACGCAAGATACATGACTGCAGAGTTTGTCTTCATACTGAAGTTTGTCTGTAGTTGGTTGTATCTAAGACTTGTTTGCCGCACATGGCACAGATACCTAAAGGGAAGAAAGTTTCTCCATGTTACACACTAATCAAAAAATGGGATGAATGGGAAAACCTGAAAGAATAATTTTCATTTTGATTGAGTCACGGTACAGTGTAGTGATCACAGTGTGTACCATGCCTTCCATATCGAAAAATCTTTATTTTTTTTGCTACTTAAACAACAAAAGCAAAAATAAAATCAACAAAAACATTGTTTAGATACAAACCTTTCTTGTATGCACAACCTATAAAAAAATCATAACTTTTGATTAACACAGGAACTTACAGATGACAGCTATCTTATCCAACTATAAACAATATCAAGATCCAGGTAAGAGAAAAATATCTCCTCCTTAAAGTGAAAAGAATGTTTGTCATATGGAGTGATTAGAGATTCAAGAGAAGATTCTGTTTTGTAAACAAAATGGTTAGACAACAAACTAGCTGCATTTTTGTGTTGGTGATGACTGCGTGCTGGTGTCAAACACAAGGTTTTGGAGTTAGGGTTTTTACAAACAACAAGACTTAGGAAGAGGAAAGGATGCACACCTTGGCTTTTTAATTGGCTTTTATACTTATACTTGCTAACTCTTAGAAGGGGAATTTTGACATATTGGATCTAGACTTCCTTAGGGCTTTATTCCATTCACACATTCAACAATGATATTTTTCCTAAGACATAATTTGCTAACTTTAGGCATGTTGGTGAACATTATTAAAATTAATGTAGTTAAATTTTTTTCTAGGCAAGGTTAAATTTGAGTCAATGGGGGGGCCAGTGGTGTAACTCTCCAAAGCACACTCATGTTTTGCAGGGGTGCAACTTAGGTTGTAGCGCTTTTTACAGATTGCCTTAGTTTCGCTTTTGTCACAAATTATTGAGAATCCATTGTATGATTTTTCTGTGATGGCAAATAATAGCATAATCACATCTCGCACATACTTTGGCAGTAGTGTGAATGCATCTGATGCACAGTTTGTTTGCAGATTCTGCATTTGTTGAAGGTTGTATATGGGTTAAATCTAAATATGGGAGAACAAAAAAAATGACAGAATTAAATTTACATGACAGCCACAAAACATAATATACCTCACAAAACAGTAAGATGTTCTGACCTTATGGTAACGTGGTTTTCTTAAACACTGATCAAACCCTGTTTAAATAACTGGCCCTAAGTGTTGATAATTAGATGACATAAGTGGTTAAATAAGCTTCAGTAACACACATACTGTTCCATAGTACATACATTCTTGTTACTTTACCTGTTCTTTTTCTGTGTCAAAAGCTTGTTCTCATTAACTTTCCTTCCTCCACTCTCTAAAGAATAAACAACGACCAACATGCCACACAT